GGGGCTTTGGTGCCCCGGGTGTGGATTGGCGGCGGCGCCCCCCCCCCCCCAAGGGCTGCGTGTGGGGGGACCCCCGCGGGGGCCACGTCGTGACCGCAGACGGCTTGTGTAGCTTGCGGAAATAAAGGCAGTGGCGTGGGGGTGCCTGCAGTAGATGGGGACTGTGCTGCAAAAATACCTGCTGCCCAGAGCAGATCTGTGTGTGCATCCGTGATAGTCCCTCCAAATAATCTCCTAGCTCCACTCGTGTGTGGCTCAGGAGTCCCACGAGCCTTATGCAGGTCTTGTGTACCTGGTGGCCCTAGCTCCCTTTGGGGTTTTTGGGGGAGGAACTTCCCTGGACACCTGAATTCATCAAGCAGTTTGTCCAACCTGGAAGAGGCTCCTTCTCCTGGCCCAGCCTCTTGCTGTTGCCAAGGCCTGATTCAGTTTGATCATTTAGGATTAAGTCATGAATCTCGTCGTTACGGTATAAAGGTTTAGATTGATTTGTATAAACTTCTCTGCAGCTTCAGAGATATGGACTGCAAGAAAGAAGAGAAACAGCAGGATTCAGAATTGGTGGTTGAGTGCCATCAACGTAACGTGTAGGACCTTCTTTTTGCAAAACGGTTTCTAAGAATACAGTCTTCAAAACTACCCTCCACTTAGTGTTCGAGTCAGCCTTCAGGAGACAGGGTCATTAACCTGGTGCTGGATGTAATAACCATGCTGATAAGCAGCCAAATTAACGTAGGTAAGAAAGGATGGGGATAAGCAGACACTGCCCTAACATGAATCCAGACCAGTTGATCGATGTTTCTTCCCTAGGCTGAGTGTGGGAAGGCCTGTCCCCTCTTCGTGAGGTCTATGTATTCAAATGTGAACACTAAACCTTCATCTTTCCTAGCCCAGATCCAGCTTGGTGGTTTTGGAGGAGGTGCTGTGGCTGCTTGTTAATAAACAACCGCATTTACATTAAGTTTGTACCTACAGCGTGAAGGCTGAGTGATTAGCCCCAAAAGCCACAAACTCAACTTGTCGTAAAGGCCTCTTTTGTGTGAACTTTTGTGTGAAACTGAATTGGTCCTGTAGGTATCTGTAGGTTTGGATGGAGAAACAGTTACCAGAAAACAGACCAAAGAGCATGTGCTAAGAAGGAGCATGAAGGTTTCCCGAGGACTGATAAGTTCTAGAGACTGGTAGTCCTGCTGAATCTGCAAGAGCTGATAAACTCTGGGCACCAAGTGTCTGCTCAATCTGTGCAAGGCCACAAGTGAATGCCGGTATCAACTGTGGGTTGTGTGACTGTAGGGCAGGGGCTGCTATATGCAGACAAAGACTGCAGGATTATGTGTACGTCCATTGAAATAAATGACTTTGAGGGACTTTCTGAACACCTACTTGGAAGCTGCTAGTGTGTCAGCACAACCCTCTACTGAGTATACAGCTGGGGTTGTCCTCCGAATGGGTAACTGGGTGACTGTATGAGTGAACTCTGAGGGAATAAATGAATGTTGTGTGTATTATCTGCTCTTAGTAGTAACAGATTCCTGGAGTGAAAACCTTGGGTACTTCTGGCTGTCTCATCCTAAACTCCTGTTGCACATCCAAAGAATTTTTAAGCAAATCAGGGGAATTAATCCCTTCTTTCCATCTTCTCCTAGAGTCCCACTGTCTTCCTTCTGACTTCTGCATAGGGTCTGCTTTCTTCCTTTTCCTCTACAGTCTTTCTCACAGCTGCAGTAGTCACAGATCCAAAACTGGAGGCTGGTCTGAAGACTCCCCCAAAAGTGTGAACCTTAAGTAAGGTAAAAGCAAAAATTGCCGATATCTTTATATATCTATATTCGCCTCCACCGGCCTCACTCAGTCTTAGCCATCTCTACATGGCTAATCCACCCATTATTTCTAGCACAGTTTTCTGTCTTCCCCCTCAGGTTCCAGACCAGATTTTCCTGCTTCTTTCCCGGCTGACTGAATAGAGACATCAGCGCGCTGTTACAACACCATTTCTGGTTGTTTCTCACAGCTCCCCGCTAGTCTCCTACACAGCCGGTAGAGCTGTAGTAGTTCGCTCTGTAGCAAAGGTTATTTCGGGTGCTTTCTCTGAGGCAAAGAGTAGGAGTCGTAGTCAGCATAAATGTTTAATAGGCCCTGAGAGCTAAGACTTTAAGATGAAGCTCCTTTTGAAGCTACATTTACAGCTTCTGCTCTCCCAGGCTTTGTATAATGGAAGCACCCTGGGCCACTGTGGTGTGGTTTTGGCATGCGCTGTAGTTCCCCCCGAGCACCTTGGATGGTTGTAAGCTTCAGAACCCCTTGACTCCCACTTCAAACACAGCCTTTGCCTCACCTTCTCTACCTTCTTAATTTCCTGCAAATCCAGTGCTCTGTGCAGGAGCATCTGGCTCTGATCTTTGATACCCTCCCTCAAACACAGTCCCTCCCTCATTTTTTTTCTCTGCCAAATCAAGCACAAACACCCACAAATTTACTTTCATCATGTTCCATGTGCCTGGAGTGGAAAAACACTTGGCTGTAAGTCTGGTGTCCTTGCTTTACATATTCAACATGGGTTAGAAGAAGGGTGCTTGGGAAAGAGTTTGGTTCTCTAAGCTGGTTATAAGACTGAGCTAAAGGAAACGTGCTTTCTAGATCTTGCGTTTCTCTCAGAGCTGTGGTTTGGGTTTTCTAATTGCTACTGTCTGCCTGTGCAGGGTACTGGTGGGGGCTTTCCTCCTTCAGTTCATCCTTTTGTGCTAATTGGAAGTCCTAGGTTTTCTGAACTCCTCAAATAATGGCGAATTTTTCATATGAAGAATGGCCATCCTACCTGCACTGAAGTTCTCCAGAAGTGTGGGCAACTAGAGGTTTATGTGCAGCTGGAAAAGGTGGTGCTAGTAAAAGGGGAAATATCCAGACATTGTAAATGAAGCTTCCAGTTGTGACGTAGCTGATGTGTGGCTCTTTGTATAGCTTTCACGCTCGATTTTCAGTGAGGCTAGGCTGCTGCAAAAGGCTTAGGCAGTCTCAAAGCTCAGCGGAGGGAGGAAGGAAGCTATACCGGCTACTGAAGTTCAAAACCTGTGATTGACGTTACTAGGGCTTCTGGGGCCGAGCCCAGTCTTTCCCATAAGAAGCCACACGGCTTCTAGAGAGTCAAGATTGTTTCCTGTTGGTGCGCTCCTTGTGGAGATTCTTTTCCCTTTGGCTCTGAAGCGTGTCCTGTAACACTCAGCCCTGTGGAGGTGTTGGACTGTGGCTGGCAGGATTCAGGAAAGCTGGCCACATCTTCAGTACCTGGCTTGGGGATGTTTGGTATTGAATATTCAATTATCTTATGCAAAGGAGGCTAATTATGAAACTGTTACAGCAACCGGAGCACTGCGTGAGACGTAGTACCAGAATATGACGCCCAGTAAGGGCTGGGGTCATGAACTAAGGCTCAGACTTAGACTCTGCAGGGCCTGCAGAACTGCTGAGTTGGGACTGGGCAAAACAAGCGCAGGAGATCCCAGAGTTCGGCCCTGATGAAACCCCATCCGAGTCTGCCGGTGAAGGAAGTCAGTAACCCAACCCTCAGCCCAGCCTGAGGGTTTGTGAAGGCAATGGAAACAATGGAGGATCCAAGAAAAAGTGGGCAAGGCGTCTGTAGCTCAAGCCTGAGGTCAAAGTTTAAGTACTTGTGCATGCTGTGGGAACAACACAAACCAACTACGTCTGGTGCTTGAGAGAAGATGCAAGAACGGCAGTGGTTTCATCCCTTGAAGAGTTTGTATGTGCCAGGGGATGCCTGTGCTCATGGCAGTGATGACAGTATTACAAAGAATTTTTCATAATGGCAACAGAGTGTAGCATTCTT